TCTGAACAAAAGACCTGAACAATTGTATCACTTTCCTCATTTCATAGAATTTCATAGCGGAAGCAAGATAATCTTGAGAGAAAAAAAAATAATCGCTAGTTTCATCTTTGATTCAAGATCAGGTATGATGACAGGGACATTTGTAATATCGAGCCTGGAAATTGCTTGTCCGCCAATCCATAAGTCATCTTATAAGTCATTCTTAGCCAAGGAATGTCTTGAGTTTGCAAGAGCAACCCAGGAAGACCAGTGATTGGAATAAGACATAGAATGTGGACAGGTCTAAAAATAGGACAATTTAGGTTTTTGACAAAGGAATAAGCATGACTGCATGCATTTTATCAACAAATGTAAGAGGAGGGAGAGGGACATCAGAGCCTTTACCAGTGTGGTTTTGTGGTATGCTGCTTTTGTAGATCTGTGTCTGGCTTATTTATTGTTTTGAAACTAGGTTTTCATTTTCCTGGCATATTTTATTTTGAGTTCTAGATTTAGAGAATTTGAGAGGAAAGGAGGGAAAAAATTCACACACACACATACACTCACACAAAACTTCTCATGTAACTGAGCCTGGAATTCCAGCCTTGGCATTGCCATACCATAAAACTCCCATGGATAAAAACGGAACCATCTGTAGTCAGAAGAGATTCTTGGCCTGATTCTGAAGGGGGAAGGTTTCCAAGGCCCCTGTGGAGATCGAGCCAGCGTAAATAGTCCATCAACACAGGGGAGTTTTTAAGGGCAATTGTAACACCAGTGCTGAGGCATAAGCCTGGGGCCCATCCACACTCTCAGGGGCAAAGCTTTCTGTTTGCACGTCACTCTTACGTGGTTAATCAGACAGGCAAGAAGAAAGCAAAGGAGAGGCTGGTGATACCCCTCTGCTGGTCTGGCTTCCCAGGGACTCCTGACACTCCCATCTTTCAGATGCTCTGATTCCAGGATACCTTCTTCACTATTTTGGCACGAGCTCTTTGCTTCCTTCCAAATATTGGGAAATGCTGTCGAGTTGCAGTTGCCTGGTATTTCTGTTGTAACTGCCAGCTTGAATTTTGTTTTGTTGACACAAAACTTTGAGAAAGCTCTTTCACGGACTAGGCTGAAGCATGAATGCAGTTCAGTAACATGTCAAAGGCACCTGTGGGGTGGGGTCTCCAGGGCTGGGCAGCTGGCACCCCATTGTGTGTGGTATTTCCACCCCCCTTCAAGAATCATAGCCTTCCTCCCTTTCTCTGGGTTTTTCATTTCTTTTTAAAAAATTGCTTTGGTGTGATAGAATTATACCTATCGAAACACTTTCTGATGTAACATTTTTCACATGAGCAGTTCATGGACTATACTCATCACGTTACGTAGCCATCACCACTGTTCATTTCCAGGTCATTGCTAACCGAGGTTCACTGCTCACTCCCCCTGCCTTTGGAAGCAGGAGTGGCATCCAGTTCCATAAATAGCTTGTCTCCAGAAACCCTATGAACCTGGAGAGAGGATGAAAGTCACGCAAGTGTCGAGGACTTTCGTTCATAGGGTCGCTATGAGAAGCCTCCCATTCGACCCCACTTAACACAGAGAGAGACCAGTGGGTCTAGGGGACCGAAAGTGATACTACCAAGCCAAAGGTGAGTGACTCTAATCCACAGCCCAAAGGCCTGTTTTTCATTGTTTTTGGTCATTCTTCTAGGTCATATAGCCCTGGTCTGTCCACTTGCTGTACAGAGGTAACTTGTGGTCGCTGTGAAGCTGAACACTGTGACACTGATGTGTCAAATGCGGTAATGGTTACCCATGGTGGACAGTGTTTGGTGGAGCTCCCTGATTAAAACAAGCTTGGAAGCAGGAGCGGCATCCACTTCTGTAAATAGCTTGCCTCCGGAAACCCTATGAACTTGGAGAGAGGATGAAAGTCATGCACGCAAGCTTCAAGGACTTTCGTTCATAGGGCCGTTATGAGTCCCTTGTGACTCAACAGCACTTAACACCCACAACAACATACATTTGCCTAGTTCATGTGAGTGGGATGGAGCGCTGTTTGTTCTTTTGTGACTGACATTTATTATTCAGATGTTTTTGAGAGTCGCCCAAGTTGTACCACATATCAGAACTTAATTTCTCTTTTATGGTGTGTCCCGTTGGATATATGTATCACTTTTTTTTTTTTAAATCTACCTACCTGTTTGGTGGAGCTTCCAGATTAAAACAAGCTTGGATGCAGGAGTGGCATCCACTTCTGAAATGTCTTGCCTCTGGAAACCCTATGAACAGTGCTCAGGTTTTTCATTCATAGCGTCGCTATGAGTCGTCTACAACTCAACAGCACCTAACAACGAGAGCCTATCTGTTGATGGACATTTAGATTATTTCTACTTTTTTTGGTTATTGTGATTAATGCTGCAGTGAACATAGGTCGATACATTTCTGCTTTCAATTTTTATTTCTTTTTCTGAGCCTATTTTTAAGGTGTTGTTGTCAGGAGCCCTTGAATCAACTCTGACTCCTAGCAACCCCAATGAACAATATATCTAGACCTTGTCCCAACCTGTGCTGGCTTCCCCATCCCTGAGAAGCTTGAGTCCATTGCAGCAGTCACTGCGCCGATCCGTCCTGTTGAGGGTCTTTCTCTCTTTCTTGGACATTCTACCTTTCCCAGTATGATGTCTTTTCCAAAGACTGTCAACACAGCCAAAGAACGGAAGTTGAGGCCTCA